TTGAGTATAGTTATAGTTATATAGTTGTATAGTTATTATTACTGCAGCTGACAATGCAACTAATATTTTCATCATAGGACATGTAATTTACATCACATAATGAAATGTCAATTACACATTAAATAAGAATTGCTCAAACATTTCCTGATATAATTATTACAGATAAACACCATAAAATGAAGGACACAGGCACAGGAGTGTTTATCAGTATTTTGTGACTTCTTTATACTTCTAGAATTCATAAAGTTACATCTATTTGCCATACTTTCATAATGTCTATTAGGTCATCTAAAGAAGCAGCTTCACATGCATTCTTCACTGCCATCCACACACCATCCAAAGTTTTTGGATCTATCAGTGGTAAGAGACCACCATAGGCCCACTGCTAACCAGATATGATCTGGGTGGTGAAGCATTGCCAGCACAGCAGTGACACAGATACGATATAGTAATGTGTGTGGTGTTGTTATGAGTGAATCATGCACAGCACTGTTTCTGCGTTTTTTTACTCGTGTCAATGTCACTGCTAAGTTGAGAGTGGTCGATCTTCCAAAACACCCGGCCAAGAGTGGTAATGGTCAAAAAGTCACCACTGATGAAGGACTAGAGGATGGCTAGCACAAACTGTGCATCAACAGATCTACAGTCTCTAAATGCACACCAGCATGTGGAGCTACAGTGGAAGAGTTTGTGTTTAACACTCTGATCAACTCAGTGTAACTACTGATGAGTCCACCACCCATGTAATATCTGGTTAAAAATAAATGGGGTAAAGGTTGGACTATGGCTGGCTACAGCATGTCATTTTACATATAGAGGTCCTATAAGGGTGGTGAAACCTCATCAGTACAAGGCAGAAATATCTAAAAAACTGGTGACTCTAAGACATTATTCCTGGCTGCTAATGTACTTTTTTAAATATTCCATGCTTGCATAGAGGAGACAAACAAGTTGTTGCTGTTGGTAAAATCATATTATTCTCATATTATTTTGCTTAATACAGCAGGAGTTGACTAGTAAACTGAGAAACACTGTGCACAAATGAGGAATGTGGCTCCATTTCAACAAAATCAAAAAGAAACCAGCAAAACTGAAAATCTGAAAAAATGACTCACTCTCATTACATTAATGGAAGCCTTTAGATAAGATAACATTTCATGGTTTAGTGAAGTTTGAAAATGTACAGTAAAAATCATTTATTAGATGACAAAAATTGTCATATTACCCACAAAGTCATATTCCATTACCCACAGAAGCCTTCTGTCTGATTCTGTGCCACACTTGTGACCCTGACCTAAAATTAGTGTGGACGCTCCACTCGTGGGTTCTTCGATTGTGTTTAGTTCAGTTAGATTGAGATTTGGTAACTAGGAAAACAAGCTGAAGTTAAGTTCTCACTTGAAAGAAACTGCTGCAACGTCATGTTTCTACAGAGGGAAGCTGGAAGCATTAGCATCTCATCCACATAAGCTCTTTAGCATTTTTTCCTCTCCCCTCAACCCTCCTCCTTCCATTCCACCCTCTTCTTTAACCCCTAAAGAATTTGTCATCTTCTTTGAGGCGAACGTTGATCTAATCCGCCAGTCTTTCCCCCCTGTCTCCACTTCTTCCACTAGACCTCGATCCACAGATGATGTCCTGATCAAATCCAGTAATCCAAGCACCTGCCCACTGGATCCCATCACATGCACCTTGCTCCAGTCAATCTCCATTGATCTACTGCCCTTCATCATTTTTCTCATAAACAACTCCTTGTCATCAAGCTTTCAAGACTGCAAGAGTAGTTCCCATCCTGAAGAAGCCCATGCTTGACAGCTCTGATGTCAACAGCTACAGACCGCTATCACTCCAACCAATCTGGCTTCAAACCGGCACGCTCAACAGAAATTGGTGTTATAGCAGTGACTGAGAAACTCCAGGCAGCAAGATCAGCCAAACTGTCATCTGTTCTGATTCTTCTTCATCTCTCAGCAGCATAGACACGGTCAAACATACAGTGCTTCTAGATGTCCTCACCTCCTCTCTGTGCAGACTCTCCATTGATGTCCCACAAGGCTTGGTGCTGGGTCCTCTTCTCTTTTCACTTTACACTCGTACTCTTGGTGATGCAGTATCCTCTCATGGCTTCTTTTACCACTACTATGCTGATGACAGTCAACTAATGCTTTCCTTCCCACCTTATAACACCCAGGTTTCCAGTTACATCTCTCCATGTCTGACTGACATCTCTTTATGGATGGCAGCTCACCACCTGAAGCTCAATCCTAGCAAGACTCAGCTGCTATTCATCCTTGGCACTACAGGTCATCATCATGGTCTTGCCACCTCATTTGAGAACTCTCTGATCGTTCCGTCTGAAGATGCAAGAAGTCTTGGTGTGATTCTGGATGGCCAGTTGTCGTTCCCAGCTCATATTGCGAACCTGACTCAGTCATGCAGGTTTCTCCTGGACAACATCTGGAGGATTCGACCCTTTCTCACTCAAGAGGCCACCCAGGTGCTAGTTCAGTCTCTTGTCATCTCAAGGCTTGACTACTACAACTCACTCTTGGCTGGTCTTCCTATGCGGCCATCAAGCCTCTATAACTCATTTAGAATGCAGCAGCACGGCTTGTCTTTAATCTTCCTAAGCTTAGTCACATCACTCCACTGCTGCGCTCCCTTCACTGGCTTCCTGTAGCTGCACACATCAGATTTAAAATCCTCATGCTTGGCTACAAAGCCAAAAATGGACCAGCCACTCCCTACCTAATGGCAATGGTCGAAACTCAAACTGTACCTCAAGCCCTTCAAGCTTCAAGTACAGCTTGGCTTGACCCACCATCCTTTCTGATCCATGGAAGACAAGCATTAAGACTTTTCTCTGTCCTGGCACCCAGGTTGTGGAACAAACTCCCACTGGCTGTCCGAACAGCAGACTCTCTTGCAGTCACAGACTGAAGACACATCTCTTTTTACAGCACATAAGTGAGCAAGTATTTATTGTAATGTATTTTACTGCACTTATTGAAATGTTTTGCACTGCGCTGTGTTTAATTCTGTTTCTTTTTCTCTAGGTGTCACGCATCCACCGAGTGCCTCGTGGGATTCGGACTCGATCTCCCAGAGATCACCTGACTTCCACACAGCCAATCAACGAAGATAGACAGCCGGACTCAAACTCCCAGAACTCTCCGGAAGGTCACACGACTCCCTACCTGACCTCAAACTCCTATCCGTGTTCGCGATCTCCTGAATACTAATGAATGTCACCTGTGTTTTGATCAGATGACTACTATAGTGTAGTATTTAAGCCCGGGCTTTAGACTAGGTAACTTGCGAAGTATTGCATCCATTTTTCGTGATCTACTGAGCAGTTATACCTGTATCTGATTATCATGTATGACCTTTTGCCTTTGTTCTTTGACTTTGTCTTTTTGCCCAGCCCTTTGGATTGTTTGCCTGATTTTGGATTTTGGACGTAGACCTTCTGCTTGTGTTTTGACCACGTTTTTGCCTTCTCCTGTTTGGAACTGTTTGCCTGGTGTTATGTTTATTGTTTTGTTTCTCAACTGCTTTCTGGAATTGACCCACACCTGTTTTTTTGACCACGAACTTGCACTGCACTTCTACTAGTAAAGCCTCCTTTGTAGTTTATATCTGTGAGCATCTGATTCTGTTTGATTCGTCACTCTAGGTATCAACATGGGCTTTTGCTTGTAGCAATATTTGAGCTCAGGACTGGCTTCCTCTTTAACCTATTTGTAACTAGCAAAGATGCTTTCTCTAGGTAGACAACAAAGCACTTTTTGTAAATCGTTCTGGATAAGAGCATCTGCCGAATGCTGTAAATGTAAATGTGAGTTTCTCACACTGAACACCTGATTGGCAGTGAGGTTCAGATATACTGTGGTATGTTGCTCTGAAAAGTAATAAAAACACACCCCCTACCATCGTAACACCACTACTAGACTGACAGATGCATAAACTCAAGGTGTTAGATACACCTCTTGTTTATAAATTGAAATTCTGGGGGATCCCTGAAAATAAACTTAGGATGGTTTGCTAAGACAAATTCAGGGAAAAGGTCATTATTTAGCTGTTTCTCTTACAATTGAGCCTCTGTCTTTATTTTTCTTAAGTAACTAGAGCTGCAGTGCTGGTCTGCCTCAGAGTGGCACTTTAGCAAACTGGTTTACCCAATTGATCATTCATAGCCTAGCAACCGTAACTATGCCCATCATACCTCTGAAAAACTATACAATGTGCTGTTGCATATTGGTAAATCTGACAACTTGCCAATTTTCCAAGAGTTTGGAGGAAAGAGTGAATGGCTACTCATTTCGCACACTAAAGAGAAAAAAAGAGGAGATGAGTAAGATCTCAATTAATGTGAAGAAGAGAGCATTGAGAAACTCAAAAAGAGCATTTCCAAACGAAGAAATGTTAAAACAAACATTTTGTTGCCATTGAAGATAGCATCTGTGTTGCTATGGCAAGTGCATAGGCAGCCAGCCAACACTGGAGGAGCCAGCCAACATGGGACCCCCTGAATACCAGGTAGTGTTTTGCACACTTCATAAGCTTGTGGAATTTCTCCATTCTTTAGTGCTGCATAAGTGTTTATTATTATGTGCTCAAAAAACTCCCCTTTTAGGGGTTAAAATCGCAGTCTGTCCATGTTTTTTCTTTCTTACAAACATAAATTAAACATTACCAGACAAATTAGTAATGAAGAACCCCAAGAGATAATAGTCAGAAACAGATCAGAATATCTGAATAGCAAAAATATGAAAAATTCTAAACACTGATTGAAAGTGTCTGTAATACAGAAACATGGAAAATCAGAGCAAAATATCCACATAAAACTTTAAATTAAGATTAATGTAAAGCTATATGCGAAATCTAAAGAAATGAGGCATGACAGCAGTGTATTATGACTGAGTGTATGAGCTGCATTATGGGTGGAGCTGTGTGTCTCAGCAGAGAGCTACACTAATCCCATTCAGCTCTGACTCTGCTCTCAGTCACTTCACATCTCTATCAACATGCTGCTCTCTATCCTTTCTCTCCTAGCACTGCTTTTAGGTAAGAGAACTTTAATGACAGAACTGTCGTGAGAAAAAAGAAAATCTGAAAAGCAAAGTAGAAATTGTAATAGCAGATTTATTTGAATGTTGTTTGAGAGATTCCAATGTAATTTCTTCAATAATTGTTCTGTTTCCAGGAGACACATCAGCACAGACAGTTGTACCACTGGAAAGAGAAATTCATGTTTCAGAGGGTGATGAAGTAACTCTGTCCTGCAACTACAGTACGAGTGATACTAATGATGTTCTTCAGTGGTATCGTCAGTTTCCCAGATCCAGACCAGAGTTTCTCCTGTATATTAACCTGCAAGGGTTTAAGAGTGATCCTCCTCCTGGAATGTCTGTTGAACTTCATCAAGACAAGCGTGTGGATCTGTTGATCTCCTCTGCTGCAGTATCAGACTCTGCACTCTACTACTGTGCCTTGAGGCCCACAATGGCAGGAAACCCGGCTACACTGTACAAAAACCCCTTATTATACTCCTTACAATACACAACTTTAAACATTAGATACTGTACAAAGCCTGTGAATTAATAATGCTATTTTTCTTAAAATATATCTACAGAATGAAGATTTGTAACATTATAACTGAAAGTTGTAACTTTATAACAGAATTTACTTTACACTGCATGTCATACTGAACAGATCTTACATTTAAACTGGCAATATTACATTTCTCTGAATTACTGATGATACTGATTAATATATTTAGTTCTCTACATTGTTAAGAACACAGTTCTCACCTAAATTAATACCTGTGTCTGTGGTCTCAGAGTGAAATAATATTCTAACACAGAGAGGTAATGAGGGAAACTGTCCACAGGAGGGTAGATGTCATCTAGTCTTTACTGAACACTGAAGCAGTTTTGTTGTTTTTGTTAAAGAACTGTTTTGAACATGCTTAAAAAATGCAGACTTTGAACCAAACAATTAAGACAGACAATTTAAAGACCTTCACATTAGATTTTATCTCAGGTGAATGAGGATACAGTTTGGTTTCATAAGCAACATTAGACCTTTGTGTTAAAAATATTTATTTTTCAACAGATGAAGAAAGTGGTGATCAAATGTCAAGGAAGAAGAAATTACTGTGAATAAATACAGTGTATTGTTCATTATTTAATAACTTAATGTTCTACTTCATATAATGATGAACATCTAAAAACTGTGTTCAGTTTATGATGCTAAAACTTGTATTGCAAAAGTTATTACTGAACAAAATAGTAATAATGCTTAATATGACAGGTGAATGCAGGTGAATTTGAAAGAGACTTTACACAGTATGTCATTAAGTATCTAGACACCTGTTTCTAATTTTTAAGATTTCTAGGTTGACAGATTACAGGATTGGTTTATTGATTGATTTATTTCATGAGAAAAAAAATCATGTTCATCTTCAGGAGACGAGCGGCAATCCTGCTCAGGGGATTATGGGAGCAGCAGTGAACTGAGTTTTCCCATGTGCCTTTTAAAGATATATTGTTAATGTAATCTAAAGCTTTCTGAATAGTTTTCTTTTTTATGCCTTGTAATAGGATATATTACTGAAAACATAAACAATGTATTCAGTATTCAGCCTTCACTATTCTTCAAAGTGTTCTGCCCAATTCTGAGTGAACATGCTGAAGAAATTTCATACAGTAATGATGATGAGTTTAATAAAAGATCAGATGCAGGTATTTCAGTTTCACTGATACAGAAGCTGTGTGACTCTACTGTGTTCTGAGGTCCACTGTGACTAAAACACATTCCGAGCAGTACATGCATGTCTCTAATTTAAAATGTATTCTATTCATTATGTTGGCTTGACAAATCCACTTACTGTCTTTAGTTACATTATTATTATATTATTTTCTAAATATATTTCGTATTTATATATAGTTTTTAAAAAGATTACTTTTAGCAAAATGCATGTGAAAAGCTGTGTAATTGCATACATACATGTACAGATGTATAAATAATACTCTATTATGCTGTTTGCTTGTAGGTGTGCATGTTACGTACTAAAATAAAATAAAATTAAATTAAAAATAAAATAAAAAACACAAATATATAGGATTTCATAGACTGTTTCTATTGCGTCTTATAAATGATGCACACGTCCACCAAATCAGGGGAGGGTGCATGACAGGCTGGACATTTTAAGGCAAAGTTATCATTTCATAAATGCATGTTTTAGTGTTGAAGTGTTGACCAGTTCAAGGCAACTTCATACTGTTTCACAATATTATACCATAGCACAATTATATGATAATGATGATGAAATGTGCATGAAACTGCTGTGTACTACTGAGACCTGAGAGCCACTGTGACATCATCACATTCAACCATCATGCACAAAAAAATATATATATATAATAAACACAAAGAACTGGCCAAGAATTAGCTGATATGTTCATGTTTTAATGCTTTTGTCTTTTGTCATGATAAAGCACATGTACCATTTAATGCCACTGTTGAATATTTTGCTTTGTTACATTAGATTTCATGTTTCAGTGAGAAAATTATTATCTTAGTTGTCTTTGTTGAAGTGAATAGTGTGTTCAGTGTAGTGGATTAAAGTTCCAGTAGCTGGATATAAAAACAACAGCAAAGATCAATGTGAAATTCCTCAAACAGAAGAGTATTTTGTCAAAGTATTTCTTCTTGGCCACAAATTGCTGTTCTACGCTCGCCACTTGTTATGTAGTAGTCAAACAATTGAGAAAGTCTTAACTATTTTTATTGTCCTGCATTTTGATCTTCCACAAAGACAAAAAGCACAGTGGGGCAGCTCCCCAGAGCAGGTGTTTCCTGTTGTAGTTTCTCATAACTGCACTTACCTCAGAGAGACTCACACTCACCAACACACAGATCAGCATTAGAGCACTGAGAGCTTAAACACATTACTGACTCCATCTGATCTTATTCACAATGAAGAGAAACGTCCTCATCATTCTCATCATCACATCAGGTATTCACTGTGAAGATATGCTCAGAAGTATTTAATCAATGACATTTTATTATAATTTCAAATACTCTTTACATTCTACTTTTCTTTCAGGTGTGTTTAGTGCTGATCAAATTGGACCTTCAGTGGATCAGGAGACTGATGTTTTTAAAAAAGAGGGAGAATCTGTTACACTGAAATGCTCTTATGACTCAAGTAGTGATTATGTCTATCTCTACTGGTACAGACAGTATCCTAACAGAGCTCTACAGTATTTACTGTACAGAGGAGCTCGATCAGGGAGTGGTAGCAACACTGCAGACAGAAGATTTGAGTCTACTGCATCCAGATATTCCACTGAGCTCACTGTTAGAGAACTAAGACTGGCAGATACAGCTCTCTACTACTGTGCTCTTAGAGTTGGAGCACAGTGATACAAAGTCTCTGAGACGCTTTACAAAAACTCACACACCTTCTGTTTGCTTTGAACACAAGAAGATCAAAGTACCATCCAAACCACAATGCAAGCACCGAAGTGATCTGTTATTACACTCTCTTGAAGAACAAAATAAGCTTGTCACACATTACAATACATTTTTAACTTGAATTTGCCTTTCCTGAAAAAGGGTGGTGGAAAGGCTTTTTTATTGTTCTTCACATTAAAAATGTGCATATGATCTATTAGGCTAATAAATAATAGTGCAAAAAGCAGTGATGGAAAGAGTACTGAAAATCCCTACTTAAGTAAAGCCACTGTTTTGTTGCTGTACTGTTACTTTAGCTATTATTTCAGTACAAGTACACGTAAAAATTTGAATAAAGTAAATTATTGATGTAAAAGTAAATAAATAGATGTTTGGAAAACTACTTGAGTAATCAAGTTATTTTTTTGTATATCCACACAAACAACATTGAAATTACATCATTAGCAATAATCTGTAAACAAAAAAAAATTGTGTTCTCCGTTCTCCTAGTGCACATTTACACATCTTTCTGTGAACTGTGTAAGGAACAATATTAACATAAAACCACACGCATTTCATGGTAAAAGGCTTTTTAGTTCATCTAATAAAGTAGTTTATAAACTCTCAAAGATTGCAGAGTTCATTACTGTTTAACTAAGTTCATTTTAAAACATCATATTATTTGAGTAAGCCTCAAAATAAAGCTTAGATTACTCAATTAATAATGTCCTTTTCAGTAACAGCCCTACTGCCCAGCTGCCTGAACATTAGCTTACCTTAACTTTGGTTGCATGGTGTAATGGCGAGCACTCTGGACTCTGAATCCAGCGATCCAAATTCAAATCTCAGTGGGACCTTCTCATCTTTTTGGGGACAGTCGTGGGCTGGAACTGAGGGCACCAGCCTTGCAACCGGAAGGTCGCCGGTTCGATCCCCTGGGCCGACAGTACATGACTGAGGTGCCCTTGAGCAAGGCACCTAACCTCTAACTGCTCCCCGAGCACTGCGGATAGGGCTACCCACCGCTCCAGGCAAGTGTGCTCACTGCCCCACTAGTGTGTGTCTTCACTAGTGTGTATGTGGTGTTTCACTGCATGGATGGGTTAGATTGCGGAGGTGAAATTTCCTCATTGTGGGACTAATAAGGGTCACTTAATTAATAGGTGTCAACCTCTAGAGACAGTAAACATTACATTCACAGCCTTCAAACTGTATAAATTCACTGATACCTACAAAATTTCTACCATTAAAGTTATGAGAAACAACAGCAGCAGTTTATCCAGTTTTGAAATTAGTGAAATTGGTGTCATTCAAAATATATGGTGGAAATTTTAATTTAAAACTACTTGGTAATTAAATTATTTAGTAACTAAATTAACAATCTTGGGAACGCATTGTGAAAAACTGAGTTAGTCCAACTAAACCATTTAATCTAGAAGACGTTGAGCCAACTTAACTATTTAACTAATGAACTGAGTTTTCCCATGTGCCGTTTAAAGATATATTGTTAATGTAATCTAATGCATTCTGAATAGTTTTCTTTTTTATGCCTTATAACGGGATATATTACTGAAAACATAAACAATGTATTCAGTATTCAGCCTTCACTATTCTTCAAAGTGTTCTGCCCAATTCTGAGTGAACATGCTGAAGAAATTTCATACTGTAATGATGATGAGTTTAATAAAAGATCAGATGCAGGTATTTCAGTTTCACTGATACAGAAGCTGTGTGACTCTACTGTGTTCTGAGGTCCACTGTGACTAAAACACATTCCCAGCAGTACATGCATGTCTCTAATTTAAAATGTATTCTATTCATTATGTTGGCTTAACAAATCCGCTTACTGTCTTTAGTTACATTATTATTCTATTATTTTCTAAACATATTTTGTATTTATATATAGTTTTTAAAAAGATTACTTTTAGCAAAATGCATGTGAAAAGCTGTGTAATTGCATACATACATAGATGTATAAATAATACTCTAATATGCTGTTTGCTTGTAGGTGTGCATGTTACGTATTAAAATAAAATAAAATTAAATAAAAAATAAAATAAAAAACACAAATACATAGGATTTCATAGACTGTTTCTATTGCGTCTTATAAATGATGCACACGTCCACCAAATCAGGGGAGGGTGCATGACAGGCTGGACATTTTAAGGCAAAG